AAGGTTCATAGAAATTCAGAGGCAAATGTCCCAATCAGAAGCCTGCTTGCCATCCTACTCCTAGTGCTGGGAAGGACGAATCATGTTCCATAACAGCCTTCTCCATGGTAAGCAACAGGAGTTTCTTCCCCTTCTTTCAGGCTGATAGAAGGAGGACTTTACTCACTTTATTCCTGCTGCCTCATCCAGGACCCCTGGTTGATTTACAGCAACTTTAGTTCTTTATCCCTTCCTTAACCTCCTGGCTACTATGAGGGGGCTCTCCATTACTTTCTCCCTATCAAGCACCTGTTTCTTGTGCCTCCCAAGGCAGGCAATGTTGCTAGTTATGGAAGAGGAAGATAACAGCATCAGCTGGGTGTGCCATGCTCATTACACTTATCATAGTCATCTGTTATACCCACCCTGATCACATGAAGAGACAACTGATGATTACAGTACTGGCACCTCTTGCGCACAAGGATGAATCCATCTTTTCATTACTACCACAATGGGGGCCTGCTGCTTAACTAGGTCCTAGGTGCTGCTTCAGTACAATTAACGCTACATTCTAATTTATACTTTGGATGGCATCTCTGCAGCCATGAAGCCTATTTAAAAAAATCCCCCCCCAAAAAAACAACTTTGGTTCTGCAGAAATTCATGGCTCAGGGCCAATATTCATTAAGACAGACTTCCATCTGAGAGTGGATTCTTCCAGCCTTCTCTCTAGACTTCTGGCTTTAGATTAATGGCTCAGTACCTACTAGTGATTTTCTCTGATGACAAGTATAGACTCCTCTGAAGATTATATTGCTTTCACCTGCCCTGCCATAAATTATCCTTAGAGGAATTGTTAAGTTGGAAGGCACTTCAATCCTTCCTGCCATGTGGTAGGACCTGTTCCATCATTCCTAAAACAGAACCAATAAGTGCTGCCTCTGATAGTAGAGATTTCAGTCTCTTAACAGTTTGTTCCCTTGCTCAGTTTTCAAGTCATCTTCCCTGGGACTTGATTTTCAGAGATGCCAAGCACCCTCAGCTGCCATTTATTTCCAGTTGATGATGGCTACTCATGAAAACCAGGCTGGTAGTTCCTCACCTGCTAGGATAAGGATGAACTTGAGAGCACATGCAAACAAGACACGCTCACCCCACCTACAGTGAAGCTACACATACTCCCTCTTGAGTAATATCCAAAATGAGATGTTTCAAAAGCAGCCCCCAGTTCTCCAGTGTTAGCCAACATGAAGAAGTTGGCCACATGTCAGCCACAGCAGAATAAAGCCAAATATTAAAATACACAATTTAAGGCTTTTCAAACCACAGGCAGATAGACTTTCCTAGAACAAGCCCCTCCACCCCCTTCCTCAAATCTAGCATGCACTTGGAAGTTCTTACAAGTTTAACTGGGGTGGGAGAAACCAGTATAGATATTCTTTCTTGCATAGAAATCTCTCTGATGGTATAGAGTCTATACAGACTGACAGCATCGATAAAGAGGTTGTACTGCTTTAACTATACTAACATTTTGTACAGTTTTCCAAAGCTGCCTCATTATGCTGCATCATTCCTCATAGTCAGTCCATATATTCTGAGAAAAATCAGTAGAGCTATGCTGCTTTACACTTGCTGCATACCTGGCTCTTGGAAAGAGACCCTCAGCATTCAAAGTAAGGAACTGAAGAGATTTGAGAAAGGGACTTCTTCCATACAACGCAGAACATTGCCCTAACCAAGCACCCTCGAATAAAGGGTCTCGCTGTACAAGGAAAGTAGCACTCAATGAGGCAAGGAATGATTCTACAGCATACCGCCTTCACCATGGAGGCAAGCCCCAAAGCATCCATAATGAAGCTTTTAAAAAGGATTACTCCCCCGCACAAAAAAAAAAAAAAGCCAATGCAATTTTACCAATCAGTAGGGAAATGTGTATGTTACATGACAGCAACTTATGGCAGCAGTAACCAAACTCTGGATGATATGGAAGTTTAGCACAGCACAGACCTGTCTAAATATTTATGCTCACAGCGCTTCTGTACACCATAGGTAACTTGAGCAACAATGGCATTGCACCAACTCCTGAATTATTGCACTTTAAGAGCAGTTTCACTTAGTTCCTAATGCTGATTTTTTGTTGCTGGTATGGTATTTGACTGAATTATATGAAGCCCCTGGGGAAAAGGACGTGTCTGTTCAGCTTGCAAAGCACGCTAGGCCTATATGGTGCAACCTTGTGTAGGCGGTGGTGTGGCTGAATTTCAGAACCTTCAACTAACCAGCTCACATCACACCCCAAAATGACTGACTGCATAAAGCTTCCTTCATACAACCAGTCCCAAATCAGGTTTCTTTATATAAAACGCTACTTGAGGCTTTGCTCACTGCTGTGTTACAAACATCCAAACACATTAGCCCAATAATAGGAATAGGCAAAAGAAAGACTCCAGAATTTTCAGATCTCCCCATCTAACAAGATGTAAGCCACACTCCCTCTTATGAGACCCAAGAATGAGGCTTGAGACAGATCTCAGATATTCTGGAGGTCTCCTGAGATACCTCTAATACAAGCGTGTAAAATACAGCCTGCCAGGCCATTCTATCCAGCCCGCAGTGCCCCTAAAAAAATTTAGAAAATGAATATTATTTGTGTCATGCCCTTGGCTGCCTGTCATGCAGCCATCGGTGGCTTGCCAAAACTCAGTAAGCGGCCCACTGCCCAAAATAATTGCCCGCCCCTGCTCTAGTACTTCAAATGGATGACTTGTTGCTCAGTTCTATCAAGTTTTTCGCTGGTGATCCCAAGAACTGTTTGTTACAGGCTCAACATCTAGGACCTGATAATGGGCAAATTATACCAAATACCTCAGCTGATGTAGGTAAATGCCATGGATTACTGGCTCAACATGGAATGGAGTTCTCAGGATCAGATCGACTCAAGTAGGCTCCTTAGGAATTTAACATCTCAAGTCTTTTGCCTTTGCACCGCACTAAGCATACAGTATGCCCCCTTCTTCTATTTAATCTAGTCACACCTTTACTGGAATAGCTCTGCATGGGCACACTTGTTCCGAAAACAGGTTTTTCAGTTGAAGTTCATTTGCTTCCAAAGTGGGTTAAGATAGGCGGGTATACAGATGGCACAGGAAGTTGATGATGCCAGACCTGCAGGCAGGGTCTCTGCTTGGCAGCCTTCCATCAAAGCACATGACCACACATCAGCATAAAACATTTCTTCGGTTTTCAGAGGAGCTGCCCCCTTCATCCTTAAATCATGGCAACACTTTGCAAACTTCCAGCTGCCACTGGCCCCAAACTAAGAAGTCCTAGGGGGCTTCTGGGCCCATTTTTATACCCAGGAACATAATCACCGAGTCTGCCACATTACCCATTCAGCCAGATCAGCAAGTTGAGAAGCACTATAGCTCCAAGGGCTGGCTTCCCCCAGTTAGCTTTGTGGGAAGTCTAGGACAGTTCTCAGGCCGTGGCCTTATGATTCCTATTTTTCCATTCCCCAAATGAAGGGAGGTTCTCTCAACTATTGTCCTGCTGTTGTCAGAGAAGGGGGCACCTCAAATGATCCAGCAGGCCTGACCAAGAAGATTGAAGCGCCAAAAGGACTCTTTCCCCATTTTGAACATTGTTTATGCCTACATATGTTGCAACTGATTAATGGATTTGGGATTCAAGTTTTTCTTGAGGGAATTTGGCAGCAACACTGCCAATTTACTGCCTCTCCCTAGAAGCAGTAACAGGAGTGGCATATCAGGACCAGATAATCAGATGCCAACGTTTCCTAGGATTACAGACAACACAAGGGGTATTGGTTGGTTTTGTTCTCACCACCCAGTAAAGAGACTGGGGGGGGGCGGGTAAAGAGAGAGTCAGGACTCCTTCCC